ACCACCAGTGGACAATATCACACCCACCCACACACCCCCCATACACCCACACACACATCCCAACCAAACACACCCAACCCAAACACACCCCACATACACCCACACACACCCCAGAATATCGCAATATTTTTCATGGTGATTTTGTGAGCATGCAGTTTCATACCACAGATGATCCTCCATTTTTTTCTAGAAGTGATTTTTGGGAGCTGTGGCTGTCGCTTCCCACCTGGAAGCTCCATCCATGTTTTATACTGTCTGTGTTGGAGCTCCTCTAGCGTGTTCTCCTACCTCACCCAGTGGAAGCTGGGTTAAGCTCCAGTGCCCTGTGGTTAAGCCGGGACATGGATGAACGTGCTGAATATTTACTGCATGTAGAATGAGTGAAAAATCAAACTTGAAAAGTGAACTAAATTAGCGTCAAGTTCAATAAGGGGCGGCAGTCTGATTTGTTTGTGTGTGATTTTGGACTCTTTATTTATTTCACAGCTCTACTCCTTCCTCCTGCCTCAAAGCTTTGTGCCTTTATGATGCAGCTGACTCTCAGCTGTGGGACAAATTGTTGCTTTAATGCCCTTTAAAGCGCTGCCATCCTAAGTGCATGTGATAGAGTTTCTCTCTGCATGCTTAACATTGAGCAGAGATAGAACAAATCGGCAGTAATTAAATTGAACCTGTACAGAAACCTTCAATTATCTCATCTTTGTGCCTGAATCGTGGCTGCACCTGAGCTCTTCACATCAGCTCTGCAGGACAAAAGCAGTAAGCACTCTGCAGCAAACACGTTGATCCTGTAAGAAAAGAAACGTTCGAGCGTCGTTCCAGCAGAGTGAAGTCTCAGACCTGAATCCCTCCTGGCTGACTGAGGCATCTCATTGTGGGGTCAGCCTTGAGATGCTTCATAACAATTTCACATTGTGTGGGAGCTTTTGTCCGATGCTGTGTCGGCAGCAGACGGAGCGAGAGCAGTAAATGGGAGTGTTTCTGCTTAATTAAGTGCAGAGCCTGTGGGAAGATAATGAATCAGTGCTTGTAATTTCTACTAAACGTTTTAAAGAGAAAAAACATGAAGAGATCTGGTCAGCGATGCGTCGCTTTATCTGTGATTAATCTTTTTAAAAAAAAGATTTCTCACAGATAATTTGCAAGGGCACCTCGATCAATCCACGTACAATGCACAAGCTGCCCCTCTGAGACAGACGGGAGGGTAATTATCACAATTCTGAACATTATAATAAAAGTACATATTTCATCCACGTATGGCAGAGTCAGTCCCGGTGCATGATGTGAGACGGTGTGTGAATTATAAAACATATATTAACTGTGTTTTCCAGGCTTCAGTGGTGAAAGCAGCAACTCGAGAAGCTTCCATACAAAGAGTCGTCTGGGTCAAGTAAGTCAGTTTTTCAAAGCAGACATTTAATCTGATTTATTTTGGACAGTAAATGGTAAATGGACTGGTTCTTATATAGCGCTTTTCTACTCTGTCCGAGCACTCAAAGCGCTTTATACAGCTAATTCATTCACCCAATCACACCCATTCACACAAGCACTTCTAAGTTTAAGTGCTGAGTATCTAACATTCGTACACATTCACACTCCGATGGATGCATCGGAGAGC